AACGGGAGGAAAAGAGGAAGTTCATCTTTGCTTATTTTTTTCTTTTCCCCTATAAACTTTTCAGCTATAGAGCTCACTTTCTTTATCAAGTTCCTAGTGTTTTCTTTTTTCCCTTATTCTTCTACTCTCGCTGCCCCCTCTCTGCACAAACCACTAGCTCGGGTAAGATTCTGCTCCATCATTGATCCCCCACACGTTACGGTGTAACCCCACCCGCCCGATCTGTCTGGCCCCGGGGCTCTTTTCCTTCCGGTTAACCACATTCTCCATTTTCCCCAGCCAACCCTTCTTACACCTACTCTACCCGTGCAAAAAAGCTTTCATCTTTTAAATGTGCTCGCCAATGCGCCAGCACCCTCAGTGACACCCGCCCTCACTCAGCCTTGTTTACTTCTTTGAGTTAGGGGCAGTTTATGGCGTACCCAGCGTCCCCTCTTTCGGGCTTTTATGCCTGCGTTGCACACTTTTCGTTTATCGTGCATCTGTACCCACCGTTTCCCCTCTCCCCCGCCATCTTTCAAGCTTTTATTCCCTTGGCTTGACCCACGTATTCGTGCTATTGATTCCCCCCTTTACCCGCCTTTTACACATCGCTGAGAGCCAATTTTTTCCCCCTCTTCTTTCCATGCTAATCGATCCAGCTCACCCCGCTCTTTTCCAGCTCTTGGTTTCACTCAATTCCCGCCGGGCTCAACAAACCAACTATACTGATAGGGACTCCACTAGAAGCCGGGAATCTTATAGGGTAAACTAACCTCCATAAAAACCAACGGAGGGCGTCGAAAACACCCCGCCGGGAACATCGCAGCAAAGGTGATGATTCCTACCCACGTAGACTCCCCGTCAACTCCCAACGCAGGCATCCCCGCGCCCACGATTCAACGCCCACCCGCCGAACCGGAGAACAGTTGTGGCGATCCACCTGGTCCGGTAGCGGCGATTTCGCCCAAGCAGGAAGAGGCGCGAGTGCGGCCGGGGGTAAGAGGGTCAATGGCGGCCTCCGGGTTGCGCCCGTTCCAAACGGAACAGACCGCAGCATTATAACACGCAATTCGTCGAGACGACGAGCAAGGGAGTGGGGCAGGGCTATATGTAAGTGAGGACCCAAGCAGTTTACATAGCCGCACAGGGAATCGGAACGGCATCCGCCAGGAAAATTCCTGCGGGATGTGGAATGGGGGTTGTAATGACAGGGTTTTCCCATCAGAGTACCATTTGGTCCCAAATTCACGCCTCGCCCTATCTGGAATTTCGCGAAAATTGCCCGGAAAATTGCGACTTCCCGTCCCATTCGTCATACGCGGCGTTTCCGCCGCCTCGCGGATGACGCCACGGCCCTCGGACCACTGGAAAACAGGCCTAGAACTTGTGGAATAACAGCGGAATACGAACATACAAAAGCATTATTGGAGAGATGGTACGGAGGAGTACAAGGCTGGGTATGAAGTAAGGGCAAATGTCATCAAAATACAAAGGGGATTGCCCTTGGAAGTGGGGTAACTTGACGCCCCATCCTCACTCTCCTACAATCCGATGCCTGCAATCCCGACGCACCCGGCGCAACGAAACGCCGGACGCATCCAGAATAGAACGCCGCTGCTATATGGTCCCCTTCAATCCCTGCCGAAGGCGCCCCTACTCCCGCCCTACCGCGTGACCTCGACTGAGCGGTCCGGAGAGCGGTGTTCTGCGGCACGCCTGCTGCCGACTACGGCGCCGACGTCGGGTTCGCGCGTGGAGTTCTCTCCCGGCTGTGTGACCCTCTCGCTCCCGGGCCCCGTTCGTCGACGACAGTAGAGGGGCACGGATCGCAGCCTGTACGTCCCTTTTCTCTACATACACCAACAAGCGTCTCCATACTCCTATGATCTCCAGTCCGAGCGCGGAGCGACCTGTCCGCCGCACCTGTCGCCAGACCGATGTGGTAGTGGAGAGCTACCCCGTACGGCTACATGGACGCCCTGGGACTGCAGCTACGAGGCCCTGAGTGGGTCATCAACCCGGCGTCGTCGTGGCATCGCGTACCCCCTTCGGCCAGAGAACGGCCCCTGGAGGACTACAAATCCAACGACCTGATCGCCCTTGCATCCAGCGGATCATGCAGATCACCGGCGAACCGACGGCCCGCCGATGCGGCAGGCAACGGCCAGTCCCACTTCCCGGCGCGCAGTTGCGACAGCCGTCCATCCTTGCGGCTCTCTACTACCGGGACTTCGGTGACGGCGAAGGGCCAGCACAATCGACGTATCGCTAGCAGGAAGCTCTGATACACCTACTACACGACGCCCACCCGGCGCTGGCCACATGATGCTGGGCGACAACGTCACCCGTGTCGGCGCCACCTCCACCCTCGTCATTCCCCTCGGCGCCTACCCCAGCTCGACGGCTGGATATCCGCGGGCATCATCACTCCCAGCGAGTGGGACACTTATCCGAATGGATCTACGAGGTCACCGGGCAACGAGGAGTCCTGAACGAGCCTACAAGGGCGGCAACCAGGACGAGCGCCCTTCAACGACATAATCACCGCTCTCGTCATCGATTTCACCCACCCGCTACACCAGCGATACCTGTTCCACGAGGGCCAGCGCCGCAACCTGGTCTTCATCCGGTCACAACACGGTCAGACCTGCTGGCCGACCCGCAGCTGGAGGCCAGCAATTTCTGGTTCGCATCGACCACCGGAGGCCGGAGCACTGCAGTATCCCCAGGCGTGTTCGACAGCGAGTACAAGTCTCCGCCCGCCACCACTGCGCTCCCAGCCTCGGGCAGGACAACGAGACCATCTACGCTGACGACGCTGGGCCTCCGCTGGAAGAGATTGTCATCGCTAGGGATCAGGTCATTTAGGTGATCGAAAACGGAACGAAAGCCCTCCAGGGCGTGCGCGTGCTCGAGTTGGGCCCCTACGTCGCCTGCCGCTCACGGCCGCATCCTGGCCTCCTCGGCGCCGAGGTCATCAAAGTCGAGACAACACAGGTACTCGACGATGGCTTCATCCCCGCTTGGTCCCCGGGCGCCGGCCAGCCTGACTTCCAGCGCACAAGAAGCGCGTTCCATCGACGTCCGCACACCGGGAGGGCTGAGTGTTCCGGAGCTGGTCAAGACCAGCGACTGTTTCATGACCAACTTCCGCCGCAACATCCTCGACCGCTGGGGCATCGACATTCCCGCGGTCGCGGACTCCGACCTGACATAATCTGATGTGCAGACCGGCCTGGGTCGAATCGGCCCCTATACACCTACAAGTCTACGCATCCTGGTCCAGCACATGGCGGCGTCTCGCTGATGTCCGGCAATGAGGCGACCGCCTCGGCCATCAACACGTCCTACTCCGACTACCACACCGGCGTGTTCCAGCCCTCGGCCATCATCGGCGCTCTCATGCGTCGCCGGTTGACTGGCGAACCCGCCACCATGGAGTCCTCGATATTCAATCCGGCGCGATAACGGCGGGGCCATCTATCCGGACTACCACGCCACGGCCGCCTGCCCGAACGCATCGCCAAACCGCGGCACATACGCGCTCCCCACGGCGGTACCAGTGCCAGGGAGAGACCGCTGTGCGCCATTGCGGTGCAGAACGATGAGGAATGGGACGGGCTTCCGCCGCGCCATCGGTAATCCCGACTGGTGCGACGAGCCCGACTTCGCCACCAATCAGGGAAGGCTGGCAAACCAGGACCGTCTAGACTCCCTGATTGGCGAGTGGACGGCCCAGCACACCGCCGACGACGCGATGACGGGTATGCAGGCAGAGGGCGTTCCCGCCAGCATCGTCTCGCAGGGCGATGACCTCTACGCCAGCGAACACCTGAAGGCCCGCGACTTCTACCGGCCCACGCCGTACTACGTCGCCGAGCGCGGCACCCCGCCTGGGAGTGGAGAAACGCGACAGCCCTCCCGGACCACCCCGGCAGCGCCTCTCCGAACCCCCATGGAGTTCGGGCACTACAGTAACGTCGCGAGGACCAACGACTCGTATTCGCGACAATCTCGCATGTGTCGGAGGCAGAGATGGGTTGAAAGACCGTCTCGGAGGAGGATGGCTCGCTTTACTAGTTCCCACGAGGTATTGGCGCAAGGAATATAGAAAAGATGGTTGACTACAGCGGCTACCAGGACATCATCATCGAAAAGAACGACGGCATCGCCCTCCTGACGATGAACCGTCCCGAGGTGTTCAACGCCACCGGATTCACCCTGCACAACGAGTTGAGCCGCGTGTGGCTCGACCTCGGGCAGGACCCAGAGGTCCGTGTGGCGGTCATCACCGGCGCGGGCAACGCCTTCTCCGCCGGCGGCGACTTCGATATGATCGAGCAGTCCATCGGCAACGCCGAGGTGATCGCTGGCACGATGCAGGAGGCCCGCGACATCGTCCACAACATGATCAACCTCGACAAACCGGTCATATCCGCCATCAACGGCGTCGCCGTGGGCGCGGGCCTCGCCGTGGCACTGCTGGCCGACATCTCCATCGCTTCCGAGCGCGCCCGGTTCACCGACGGCCATGTGCGACTCGGAGTGGCTGCCGGAGACCACGCCGCCGCCATCTGGCCGCTGCTCATCGGCATGGCCAAGGCCAAATACTACCTGCTGACCTGCGAGTTCCTCGACGGCCCGGAGGCCGAACGACTGGGCTTGGTCAGCCTCTGCGTACCCCACGACGAGGTCATGGAACGCGCCATGACCGTTGCCCGCAAGCTGGCCGACGGCCCACAACTCGCCATCCGCTACACCAAGCGCTCCCTCAACCAGTGGCTCCGCATGGCCGAGCACACTGCCTTTGACTATTCGCTGGCGCTGGAGATGCTCAACTTCATGGGCCCCGATGTCCGCGAGGGCCTCGACTCAGTCCGCCAGAAGCGCGACCCGGAGTTCCCGTCGGCGCGTTAGCAGAGGCAAATTTCTTCCGAAAAAGTTTGTTTAAGCGATTCGGCCCTCACGAGAGCTATATAGCGTTGGTTGCGAACTACGACCCTTTATCACTGTCGTCACTGGATTGTACTTCGGTTTCTGATGAAGGGTGTGCTTGACGGTTCCTCTCCAAAGTACGGCTAATTATTTCGAACGCTTGTTTCCAGTCTTCTCTCGTTGATTGATTTCGGATTAAATTGGCCCTTGCGGCATCAGTAGCTGGTCGCCAGTTCTCAAAATTGAAGCCTTCAGGTGAATCGCCAGGTTCTGCATGTAATCCATGGGCTCTTAGGTTCCTCAGGACGTCTTGCTCAACTTCAGTATTGGGGGTATTTTGTCTTGACATCTGTCTAGATGATCGAAGGATCTCTTCTAAAATATCCCTATCTGTCCGAGATGGAGGAGCCTTCTCTGTGGGTTTCGGGATAGCGTGAATACCTCTCCAATGTGGCCACCATTTTTCAAAGGCAGTCTCTATTCTCGTCGTTTCGAGTCTGTTCTCCTCAGACACTCCGTTAATTGATTGGATTACGTCCAAAGTCGAGTCTTTGTCCGCAGATGCGGCCTGAAATTGAGCGAGTGGCCCTTCCAACTGGGCTTGTGATACTCCGTAAAGATAGGGGACTACCCGTGAATTATCCATTGACTTAGAAAGTGCGCCGGCCTCGAATAACAACCAAGGTGCTTCCAGGTTTTCCGGTGTTAGACAAATCAGCCCAAATTGCGCTTCTTCCAGGTGACTTGCTAAGTCATTCGCCCATCTGGATCCTTTATCAATGTCTGACGCGGACATAAATGGAGTAACAGATTGAATGACGTTTGGTAACCAGTCACGTAGTGCTCCTGCGACTTTTCCGCTGCGGTCTCCAGACCAACTAATGAATACTTCCACAAGTTCTCCTTCGCTTGAACGGGTGATCAGTATCAGTTCCAAGCGCCATTGCGAACAATGCAGTTCCTTACATCAGGAAACCTTGACTCTGAATTTTACTCCCAATTTCCCCTCCGCCCGCTACGGCCGAGTCATCCACACCGCGAACGCCACTACCCACAGCACCAGCAGCAGGTTGATCCGCGCCGCCCACTGTACGAACAGGCGGCCCGGGCCGGTGGGTAGCGGCGAGTCCGACGCCCGCGCTGCATCCAGCCGGTCCATCATCCTGGGCCCCAGCCAGAAGTCGTGTACCAGGCTGAGGATGATCACGATAACGAAAACTCCCGTCTTCCTCTGCAGGTAATCCATAAAGTGCGAGACGCCGGTGAAGAACGTCTCCGGCCGGACGTTCCAGTACTCCCACGCTAGGTAGGCGCCCGAGCCCGCCAGGACCACCTTGGCCGCCCACGCAATTGGCACGAACTTCTCGGCTGCGCTCCGAAGCGTGTTGAACCCGACTCCAGCATCCCGCCTCGCCAGCGGCACCATCACCATTGCCAGGAACAGCATCCCTCCCAGCCACGTCATGGCGGATAAGACGTGAATTAAAACCAGGACCTGGTACATATCTGGAAACCCCTCACACCCTGGAAGCCGATAGTATTCGTCTACGCCGTAACGGCGAATAGCCGTGAGCCCATCCCCGCCGGGGGTATGGCTACGCCAGCCAGGGAATGTCCTCTTTCAGGTAGTGCGTCGCCCGGAATACCCGGTTGACTGGCTGGTCCTCCATGTCGACGTGGAAGTGCGGGTTGATGTACTCCCACACAACCTCCCCTTCCGGCGTTACCTGGAACATGCGCCCGAACTGGCCCTCGGTTATCAGCGTGTTTCCGTTGGGCAAGCGACGCGCTCCCGAGATGTAGGCGCTGAAGAAGTTGTATGCCGGGTTGTCGGTGTATTCCCACACGATTTCGTTGTTCGCCGGATTCACCTCAACGGCCCGTGAGAATGGCAGACCCCCGCGTCCCTGCGGTGGGAGCCATTGTCGAAGATCAGCACGTTGCCGTTGGGCAGCATGTTGGGGTCATGCTGCTGCGCCAGAGTCTCGTATCCTATTTCCCAGACGATCTCGCCGCTGGCCTTGTCCACGATCCCGACTGTGGAAATGTTGCGAAAGCTGAACAGCACCCTGTCGTCCCCAATGGGTGCAAGGGTGTTTCCGTGGCTCCACTCGTCCCGCCGGTCGTTAACTGTCAGGATGTGCCTTTCGACATCCAGGTGCTCGGCCGCATGCCACTCCCAGACCCGGTTGCCCTCGGCGTCGACCTCCACCAGCACGTCGGCCCACATCCCCTCCGGGGCCGAGTCGGGGACGCCGCCCTGCACCTTCTCAGCCAACGACGGGTCCATCAGCTCCACGGTCATGTAGATCACTCCGCCCGATTCGGTCCGCCGGTGGTCGTGGTGGTGGTCGGGGTCGCGGTGCTCCCACACCACGTTGCTGTGGCGGTCAACCTCGACCATCACACCGCCCTTGAACCGTTTCCAAGAAGGAAAGCGGTCCCATGTCTCATCCACCATCTTGCCGCCGTAGAACACATTGCCGTTGGGCAGCAGGTAGCCGTAAAGCCCCGGCGGGTAGGGCATCCTCCACTGGTGAGCGACATTCCCCTCCACGTCGATCAGGTACATATCGCCCCGGCTGGCCATCGGGGTATAAAAGCACATAGCCCGGGCATGCCTTCGCCGGATCATACGCCGTCAACCCGGTCCGCCCCATCCGCCGCCGCGTCTGCTGGTCAACACTCGTCATCGCTTCACCTCACCGAACTCAGTGATGTCCCTCAAAAACTGTCCTGCCACATTTCTCAATGCGGACCGCTACCATAGTGTCACTGAAAGCGGAAATCCACACCCCTGTTGATTCAATGGAATTTTCGTAAGTCGAACCCTTGAATTCTCACAGCCGAGAATCCTTTCCCTTGCCGCAGCCGGACCGCCGCCAGTCAGGGTGCCGTTTACGTACCGCAAGCCATGCAACGCCGACCATAACCCCCGCCAACAGCAGGTCGGTCGAGTGTGGTGACACCCCACAACCGCCGCCTGCACCTCGCTCGGGACCGTTCCTTGCCGGGCTAACTCCTCCCTGAACCAGCGCCTCCCCCTGACCCAACTCGTCCAGGTCGGCACCAGCAGCGGACAGTGGCTTTGTCAGGCTGCAGAGGGTTACGGTTGAGCCATTATGCGAGTAAACGATGTATTCGACGCCTTCGTCGAAAGAAAATCCGCAGCTCGCTTCACCTCTGGGAGTCGTCAGTTGCACCGTCTGGTTGGCGGGTCCTTTCCACACGGTTGCGACCTTAAACTCGACAGTAGTCGGGTCCAAACTGCTCACCACATCACCGTCTCTCTCCAATTCGCGTACTGAGATGACCTTGCCCGCAAAAACCGCGGCAGACTCCGCCAATGCCTCCGAGGGCGTTCCCCGCGGGACACAGGAACAAGCGTGGCTCCGCTCCGGCCCAGTAAGAAACCAGAAGAGAATTGTCAGAGCGATCAGGACCAGACAACTGGTGGCCAAACCGGCTTTGGCACTCACTGGATTCCTCTTCGCGCAATGTACGCTTGACTGTGTTCTGGCATGGGATCGAGTCTCAATGATTCGGTGTTGTAACCGACACCGGAAGTTCATGCCCTCTCCCACCCTTCATCCCCAACAGGCTCCTCCCCGGGAAAACCGGAAGCGACAATCCACTGGAACTAAGAATTGCCGGGCAGGCATGAGGGCACGTTGCCACTACACCTCACGAAAAGAACGCCTCACCCTATCCCTACTGCGCCACGTACCCGCCGTCGACGGCCATGTTGTGGCCCGTGACGAAGCTGGCAGAGGGTGACGACAGCCACACTACCGCCGCAGCGATCTCCTCAGGCTCGCCCAGTCTTCCGATGGGATGCCTAGAGATCACCGTCTGCTCCATTGCCTCATACTGGTCGAACAACGGGCGCACCAGCGGAGTGTTGATGTACCCCGGGCACACGGAGTTCACCCGTATGCCGTCCTGCGCGTACTCAAGCGCCGCCGCCTTGGTCAGCCCAACAACACCGTGCTTGGCGGCCATATACGCCACCGAACCGGGTGTCGCGATCAGCCCCATGATAGATGCGGTGTTCACGATCGCGCCGCTGCCCTGTTTCAGCATATGCGGAATCTCCGCCTTCATCGAGAGCCACACGCCCTTCAGGTTGATGCGGATCACCCGGTCGAAGTCCTCCTCCTCGTAGTCCGCCGACCGCCGCCGCTCGCGCCCGCCGGAGATTCCCGCGTTGTTGAAGGCGCAGTCCAGGCTGCCGAAAGCCTCCACGGCCTGGTCGACCATCAGTTGCGTTCCGGACGCGTCCGACACATCGGCGTGGACCAGGATGGCCTGCCCGCCCGCCTCCACGATCATCTGCACCGTCTCCTCGCCGCCCTCCACGTTCATGTCCGCCACCACCACCCGCGCTCCCTCCCGCGCGTACGCCAGCGACGTGGCCCGTCCGATTCCCGAGCCGCCGCCGGTTACCAGCGCCGTCTTGCCGTCAAGCTGTCCAGCCATTTCGTTTCTCCTGTCTGTGGATCTGTGGAATTTGACGCAGATTATACCTGCCAGGACATCTCTGGCCACCTTCACTCGTACTTCACTCGCCGAGGACGATGATGGTAAAATCATGGTCAAATCCACACCCATGCCTGCAGGGGCCTGAGTTCGAGGTGAAACGATGCCGAATCCTGCCCCCAACATGACCGACTACGAGCACTCCTACCTCAACGACCGCATCGAAGTGCCGGAGTACTTCAACTTCGGCTTCGACGTCGTCGACAAGTGGGCCGAAGACCGCACCAAGCTGGCCCTGCTGTCCGTCGACCCCACTGGCGAGAAGGCCACGCACCACACCTTCTGGGAACTGAAAACCCTCACAAACCGTCTCGCCAACTCTCTCCGCGACCTGGGCATAAAGAAAGGCGACCGCGTCTTCATCATGCTCCCCCGCATCCCGGAGTGGTACGTGGCCATGGTCGCGCTGTTCAAGCTCGGGGCCCTTCCCATGCCTGCCACCACGCTGCTGACCCCCGGCGACATCGAATACCGCATCAACCGCGCCGAGGCGGTCATTGCCATCACCGACGGCGAGAATGCGGCCAAGGTCGAGCAGGCCGCCGGTGGCTGCGCCGGCCTGAAGTATCTCCTCGCCACTGGCGAAGACCGCCGCGGCTGGCTCTCCTACGAGCGCATGGTCGCCGACGGCTCATCGGCCCTCGAGGGCGTCGAGCCCACCCACAGCGACGACCCGCTGCTCATCTACTTCACCTCCGGCACCGTCGGTTATCCCAAGATGGTGCTGCACACCCAGGCCTCCTGCGCCATCGGCCACGTTCTAACCGCCAAGTACTGGCACGATCTGAAGCCCACCGACCTGCACTGGACCCTGTCCGACACCGGATGGGCCAAGGCCGCCTACGGCAAGCTCTTCGGCCAGTGGACCCTCGGCGCAACGGTGATGCAGCACGACGCCCGCGGCCGCTTCGACGCCCCCATGACCCTCCGCATGCTGGAGCGATACGGCGTGACCTCCTTCTGCGCTCCGCCCACCGCGTTCCGCATGATGGTGCTGGAAGACCTGAAGCAGTACGACCTGAGCGGCCTCCGACACTGCACCGGCGCCGGCGAGCCCCTGAACCCCGAGGTCATGAAGCAGTGGGAGGACGGCACAGGCCTCACCATCTACGACGGCTACGGCCAGACCGAGACGGTCCTGCTCGTCGGCAACTACCGCTGCATGCCCGTGCGCCCCGGCTCCATGGGCAAGCCCATCCCCGGCTTCACCATCGGCATCGTCGACGATGAAGGCAACGAGGTCCCCGTCGGCGAGGAGGGTCAGATTGCTGTTAAGGTCAAGCCAGAACGCCCCCTCGGCCTGTTCCAGGAGTACTGGCGCGACGATGAGGGCATGGAACGCTCATTCGTCGGCGACTGGTATCTCACCGGCGACAAGGCCTACAAGGACGAGGACGGCTACCACTGGTTCGTTGGCCGCGCCGACGACGTGATCATTTCCGCCGGCTACCGCATCGGCCCCTTCGAGGTCGAGAGCGCCCTCATCGAGCACCCGGCCGTCGCCGAGTCCGCCGTAGTCGCCAGCCCCGACGCGGTGCGCGGTGAGATCGTCAAGGCCTTCGTCATCCTCGCCCCTGACTACGTGCCCTCGGACGAACTCGTCCTGAGCATCCAAGACCATGTCCGCAGCACCACCGCGCCCTACAAGTACCCCCGCTCCGTAGAGTTCGTGACTGACCTGCCCAAGACCGTCAGCGGCAAGATCCGCCGCGTCGAGCTCCGCGAAATGGAGTTGGAGCGTTCCCGCGCATCCTGAGCTTGTAGACCTGACTCGCCCAACGAGGAGTACCCATGGACAGTTTCAGCGACCAGCTCCGCGCCGAAGCGGAGCCCATCTGGCGCGAGATCTTCGCCCACCCATTCCTGAAGGGAATCAAGGACGGCACCCTGCCCCTTGAGACCTTCCAGTACTACCTCGGGCAGGACTACATCTACCTCGAGGGTTTCGCCCGCTGCGTAGCCATCGCCCTCGCCAAGGCGCCCAACGCCGGTGTCCTCGAGGAAATGGCAAAACGCGTGATGACCCCCATCGAGCGCCCCCTGCACCACAAGCTGCTGGGAGCCGCCGGCCTCACGCTCGACGACGCCAAGGCCGCCGTCCCGTCTCCCACCAACGCGGGCTACGTGAACCATATGCTCTCCGTCGCCAACCGCGAGGGCCTTGGCCCCACAGCGGCGGCCATGCTCCCCTGTCCCTGGACCTACCACATGCTGCGAGAGGAGCTCGGCCAGTCCGAGCACCCGCTGTACGGCCAGTGGACCAGTTTCTACGTCTCCGGCCTCCTCGAGGACAGCGTCGAGGGCATGGCGCAGCTTCGTCGACCGCCAGGCCGAACAGGCCGGCCCTGACGAGCTGGAGACCATGCGCCAGGCCTTCCTCACCAGCAGCCGCTACGAGTACATGTTCTGGGACGCCGCCCTCCGCCGCGAGGGCTGGCCCGTCTGACACCGCCCTGCGACCGTCAGTCCCGCGAAAGCGGGAATCTACTGAAGAGAGACCTTCCAATCACCGCCGACTAAAGCAAAGGAGACCCACCATGCCCAAAGCACCCATCAACGGCATCGAACTCTACTACGAGTCCCACGGCAGTGGCCCCGCCATCATCTTCGCCCACGGGCGCGGCGGCAACCATATGAGCTGGTGGCAGCAGGTCGCCCGGTTCTCCGGCGAGTTCCGCTGCATCACCTTCGACCACCGCGGCTGGGGCCGGTCCGTCGCTCCCCTACGGCTCACCCCTGCGCGAGAATTTTGCCGCCGACATCATCGCTCTGGTCGATTACCTCGGCATCGAGGAGACCTTCTCTCGTCGCCCAGTCCATGGGAGGCTTCAGTTGCCTCGAGTTCGCCCTCGCCCGTCCGGACCAGACGCTTGGCCTGGTGCTGGGCGACACCACCGGCGGCGTGGTCTCACCGGGGCTGCTGGCCGAGCTGGCCAAGACCAACCCGCCCGAAGGCGTGGCCCGCTCACTGGCCGCCAATTTCATCACCGGTCAGCCCGCCCTCACATTCCTCTACCAGCAGATCCAGGGCCTGAACCCCGAGCGGGGCGAGGACGGCGTGATCTCCGGCTTCCGTCTCGAGAACGGACGCAAGGAGGCCGACTTCATCGGCTGGCAGACCCCCACGATGCTGATCGTCGGCGACGAAGACGCCATCTTCCCGCCCAGCGTGATCACCGAGGCCCGGAAGATCATTCCCGGCTCCCGCATGGAGATCGTCAAAGGCACAGCCCACTCCGCCCACTACGAGAAGGCCGACGAGTTCAACGCCCACCTCGCACCGTTCTTCGCCAACGCCCTTGCCGAGCAGACCGCGCCCACGCCAGCAGATTAGCAACGACAAAAGCGGCCAACACGAAGCACGTCCAGAGGGCTCCAGATTGTCCTTTATAGAAATGGCAGGGGCGGGTTTGAAACCCGCCCCTGCCATTTCGGCGTAAGACCCCCAAACCTTGCCCCCTCTTTGGGTCAGCGCCGACCGCATTAGCCAAGTTGTCAGCAGAAGGGGCTGGCAACTAAACTACTGTGAGTAAAATAGTGAATCGCTAAAATAGTGGAAACAGAAGAGATGAAAACTATCAGCGTCACCGTGGACGAGGACACACATCGGCAGCTGAGGATCATGGCCGGCGAGCAGGGTACCTCAGTCTCGGCAATGATCAGGGACCAGATGGTTCGCCTTCTGACCGACCTTGCTCAGGGAACCGTCGCTGAAACAGAACCCGAAAGACGCCGCCGCGAGCTGGACGAATTAATCAAGGAGTTCCAGGAGCAGGGTATCGGGATCTCCATGAAGGACAACCAGACCAGGGAAGAAATGTACCAGCACCGTGCGCCTCGCTGATTCCAACATCCTCCTTTACGCCATCAGCTCCGACCCGGCGGAGGCCGAGAAGCGCGCCAGAGCCGTCGAAATCCTGGGAGAGAACTCCTTGGCGCTCTCGGTCCAGGTCCTGCAGGAGTTCTACCACCAAGCGACCCGGCGGTCCCGCCCCAGCAGGCTGACCCACGACGAAGCCATGAGGTTCATAGACCGACTTTCAAGAGTGCCCGTCCAACCTGTCACAACCGAGGTCTTCCGGAGAGCGACGGACCTCTGCAACCGCTTCGGTATCTCTTATTGGGACGCCGCGATACTCGCGGCGGCGGACATTATCGGTTGCGAGAAAGTCTACTCCGAGGACCTGAACGACCAGCAGGACTACAGTGGAGTGAGGGTCGTCAACCCTTTCATCCAATAGCAGCCAAGAATTCCAGCCACGCCGTAGGGAAGGGTCCCTACTCTGGGCGCGACCAATAGATGTCGCGGCCCTGGGACCACGTTCCGTTACAGTTCTACACTAGCAGACGGACAATCGTTCCGTGATAACTCTATCGGGATACAATTCCATTCGGAAAGGTAGGCCGCCATAGTGAGCGGCTTTGAGCTATGGCTGGACAACTACGCTTGGCTACACCTATACAAGCTTGCGCGAAGCGATGGCGTCTCGACCGCCGAGATTGTCTATAAGCTAATCTGCCAGGCATACGAGGAAGTATTTAGGGAACAGCGTCTCCAGGCCGCTGAGAACCTGAATGGGATGAAAATTGAAGCCCCACCGGATCCTGCCTGTTGATGGCGACAACCCATGACGCCTGTGGCATTTGTCGACACCAACATCTCCGTGTTACGCCGCCGAACCGGACCAGCCGTGCCATTCTCTCCCGACCTTCCTGACGTCCGATTTCCTGACGCTCCCCCCTTGCCAAGCCTCATGACAACCCTCTACCATCGAATACAACGTGCCCAGATGCCCGCGCATCCAACCCATGACCGACAAATCGAGTCATCCCGCCCACTCAACCGAAGTAACGGAAACTACCGGAATTTACCGGAAAATTGAAAACCATTTCCTCGACCATTACTGAACCCTGAGAAGACTCCAGCTAGGGCAAAATGTCAGGGTATGGCAGGAAATGTCATTGATTTCCATACCCCTGACATTGAAATGGACTGGTTTGTACACCATTGCGTCCGTCCCCTTGGCGCAGGCGCCCGGTGAACGGCAGGGCCCAGAGCAAAACAGCCAATAAGCCAAATGGGACAGAATGGGGCGGGAAACAAGAAGTATTGTCCCGCTCGCCGTAGGTCAACCTCCGACCCCATCACCGGCCAACCCGGGTCTGCCTGCACACCCATCGAGGCGCCAATTGCCACCATCGGACACCGAGGGCTGTCGTTGACGCACATTGGCGGGCGATGATACGATTGCGGCTAATCTGGAATTGGAAATTGGTTCTTGCGGGAGCTTGGGCAAGCCAGGCTGAGAGGGCGGCATAAGGCGCCGCCGACCGTCTGTACCTGACCCGGCCGCTGCAGCGGAGCGCAAGTCTAGGGCAGAGCGGCGCAGGGACAAGACGTCATACCTGGTAACGCTCAATGGCCGCCCGGAATCATCCCGGCGGCTATTTATTTCCTCGCCCCAGAGCATTTAGGAGCAGGGTCGAAATGTCGGACGAACTGGTCATTGCGGGCAAGAAATTCAATTCGCGCCTCATCGTGGGCACCGGTCGCTACCGGACTATGGAAGACATGGTCGCCGCAGTAGAGGCCTCGGGCACCGAGATGATTACGGTGGCCATCCGCCGCCTCGACCTCGATGACCCCACTGCCAAGACCCTGCTCGATTTCATCGACTGGGGCAAGTACCAGATGCTCCCGAACACCGCCGGCTGCGCCACCGTCGAGGAGGCCATATTCGTCGCCCGCCTCGGCCGCGAGGTCGGTCAGACCAACTTCGTGAAGCTCGAAGTCATTCCAGACCACAAGTACCTCTTCCCCGACGGCGCCGCCACCCTCGAGGCCGCCCGTCGTCTGGTCGAGGAGGGCTTCGTAGTTCTCCCCTACATCCACGCCGACCCTGTGCTGGCCAAGAACCTGGAGGATGTGGGCTGCGCCACCGTGATGCCCCTAGGCTCCGCCATTGGCTCCGGCCAAGGCATCCACACCCGCGAGGAAGTCCGCATCATTATCGAGCAGGCCAACGTCCCAGTGGTCGTCGACGCCGGTCTCGCCGTGCCCTCCGACGCCTCCCAGGCCCTCGAGATGGGCGCCGACGCCGTGTTGGTGAACACCGCCATTGCCCAGGCCAACGATCCCGCTTTGATGGGCGAGGCCTTCAAGGCAGGCGTTGAGGCCGGCCGCAAGGCGTTCCTTGCCGGGCGCATCGGCGTGCGACAGTACGCCGCGGCCAGCAGTCCCACCACCGACGTACCCCAGCCGGCGGCTGCCGGCGCCTAGCCGGACTCCGCCAAAGGGCTGCATAGGGCTGGTTCATGGCCGTCGAGCTGCGACTCCCCTGCCTCTGCCTCGTCGCCGACTGCTCCGTCGTGGGCCCCGGCGAGTTGCCCGCCCGCGTGGCCGCCGCGGTCGAGGGCGGTGTCAATCTCGTCCAGTTGCGCGCCAAGGAAATGCCCGGCGGCCGGCTCTTGTCGCTGGCCCGGGAACTCAAGCGTCTGTCTGGGCAGCGGGCCGTCCTGCTCATTAACGAGCGGGTGGACGTCGCGGTCGCGGCTTTCGCCGACGGAGTCCAGTTGGGCGAAGAGGCTCTCCCGATCCCTGCGGCCAGCGGGCTGTTGTCGCCCGGCTCCCTAATCGGCCGCTCCGTGCATTCCGTGGATGGCGCGGTCAATGCGACCGAGGGCGGCGCCGACTTGCTGGTAGTTGGCACCATGTTCGCCACCGACTCCCACCCCGGCGCGGAACCGGCAGGCCCGCCGCTGGTGCGCGACGTCGCCAGCCGCTGCAGCCTGCCGCTCATCGGCATCGGGGGCATCACCCCAGGCAATCTCGACGCCGTAATCGCTGCAGGCGCCTCCGGCGTTGCCGTCATTCGCAGCATTCTGGCAGCAGATGATCCTGCCGCTGCCTCCCGCGAGATGCTATCCTCGTTGCAGGCATCCTGGCGGGAGCACAGGGCCCTGTCGGATAATGGTGTCCAAATCGAGACCGGTCGCCCAACCTGACCGGAGGCCGTATTCGCTATGATCAACCTGATGGTGAATGGCAAGCCGCGTCCCATCGACGCCACCCAGGACCTCGAGTCCTACCTCACCTCCTTCGGCCTCGACCTGAAGCACGTGGCCGTAGGCTACAACGGCGAGGTCCTGAAACGAGAGCAGTACCCCGAGGTAACGCTGCAGGACGGCGACATCCTCGAGATCGTACGACCGGTCGGCGGCGGCTGAAGTCTTGACCGATCCAGGGCCGGACGCCTGCTCCCCGGCAGTGCGTCGCACTGTGGGCTGACCCAATGCAGCAACCTCAGCTCGACCTCGAAGTCCTCGACCCAGTCCTGCGCCAGGTGCTGTCCGACCACAGCGAGAAGACCCTGGCCTGGATGCGCACCGAGCATGGGGCGTGGGGATACCTCGCCGGGCAGGGCGTCGCCGCCACCAGGCAGCAGCTCGGACGCCAGCTGACCGACCCCGAGCGGCGTATGGTCTGGAGCCGCCTCTGGTGGTGGCTTGAACAGCTCAAGCTACGCCTCCGGGAACCGCAGTAGCCCCATCGGCGATCGTCCCCGCGATGCTCAGGGCGTCAGGATACAGGCTACGATTCCCGTGCCCTCGCTGCCGGAATGCGGTTATACTCTTTAGTCGCAACTCCTCCACTTACACCCCTCAGGGGCCCGGTCGATTGCCTTTCCCAGATGAATGGGTCGGCAATCGCCAGTCTTGGAGAATCAATGGACAACGCCATTGTCCGCGCCACCGGCATCCACAAGACCTACGACACAGGCAAGATCCAGGTCAACGCCCTCCGTGGAGTGGACCTGTCCGTCGGTCGTGGCGAGATGGTCGCCATCATGGGACCCAGCGGATGCGGCAAGACCACCATGCTCAACTGCCTTTCCGGTCTCGATGACGTCGACTCAGGGCAGGTCATCGTCGACGGTGTCGTCCTCCACGACCTGCCCGACGACGAGCGCAGCGACTATCGAGCCCGGAACATGGGGTTCGTGTTCCAGCTCTACAACCTGCTTCCTGTGCTGACGTCCGTTGAGAACGTGGAGATGCCCCTGCTCCTGTCCGGCGTGGGCGCCACTGAGGCGCGGCGCCGCTCGATGGGCATGCTGGACCGCGTCGGACTGGCGGACCGTGCCAGTCACCTGCCTGCGGAGCTCTCGGGCGGACAGCGCCAGCGCGTTACCATCGCCCGTGCGCTGGTCAACCAACCGTCAATCATCTGGGCTGACGAGCCAACCGGCGACCTGGACAGCGAGACCACTGGCGAGATCATGGATCTGATCCTCGAGCTGAACCGCTCCAACCTTCAGAGCTTCATCCTCGTGACTCACTCCGAGGAGGTGGGGCGAATGGCGCACCGCATCGTCCGCATGAGGGATGGAGTAATCGTGGACGACGGATTCCCGAACAACCCCACCAACTAGATTCTCCGCTCCTCTCCCGCTCCCGGGAGTGGCGTGCCCACCCTGCAATAGGCGGCCAGACTGATGGAAGACCTCTTCGGCGTCAAGATGGACCACATCATGATCGTCCTCTTGGCCGTCTTCCTTCCCTCCCTCGCGGTTATCGGATTCATGGCCCTGCGGAACAGGGTCATGCTGAAGATGGCCCTGCGCAACATCCCACGTCGCAAGGCCCAGACCGCCCTTATCGTCGTCGGCATCATGATCTCCACGCTGATTATGGCCGCATCGTTCGGCACCGGCGACACGCTGACCTTCTCGATCCGCAAGGCAGTTGTGGACGGTCTGGGAACCATCGACGAGTTCGTGCTTTCGGCCCGAGCCGGTGAGACAGATCAGTTCGGCGGGGCAGCCTACATCCCGATGGAGCGTTTCACCTCTCTCCAGCAGGAGCTGTCGGAAGTCGACGCCATCGACGGCCTGGCTCCCGGAATCGCCGAGATAGCGCCCACCGTCAACGAACGCACCTCCCGTAGCGAAGGTCGGATGCAGATTGCCGGCGTGAACCCGGAAACCCTTGATGGCTTTGGGGGATTCCAGCTCGAGGGTGGCAGCGACGTCAGGGTGGAGGAACTGGGGCCGAACGAGGTATTCATCAACACTGCCGCCGCCGAAGACCTCGAAGCCGTCCAGGGCGACATACTTACCGTCTACGTGTACGGCGAACCAGGTGCTCTGACCGTAAAGGGCGTGGTCTCAGGAGGAGGCCCGGTGGGGGCGGAGCCAACTCTGCTGCTTCACCTGAACAGTGCCCAGGAATTGTTCGGGCGGGAAGGACAAATCAACTCGATTGTGGTCTCGAACAAGGGCGACGAATACAGCGGCGCCAGTCACAGTGACGAGGTCACCAAGACGCTTCGTGTGCTCTTCACAGATCGCGAGGCCGCCGCCCAGCTCAAGGAAGCCCTTTCGCGGCCCGATGTCCTCGAGCAACTGGAGCAGAGACAGCAGCGTCCCCGCATTTCCGACGCACTGCGGGAGGACCTCCTCAGTCTTGAGGATGAGCTTTCGAAGCCTGAATTGACCGACAAACTGGTGTCCCTGTTCTCAGACGAAGAGGTCCGAAACGAGTTCCTCGAAGCTGTAGCAGCCACCGGCGATGACGACCTTGCTGGCGAGGTCAACACCCTGGTGGTCTCGATGGCCGAATTCGTGGTCATCGACATCAAGCGCAGACTTCTGGACACGGCGGAACAGGTGGGAAACGTGGTCACCAGCTTCTTCATCCTGTTCGGACTCTTTTCCATAATGGTCGGCATTCTGCTCATTTTCCTGATCTTCGTGATGCTGGCCGCAGCACGGCGCTCCGAGCTTGGAATGGCCCGGGCGATCGGAGCCAGGCGATGGCATCTGGTCCAGATGTTTGTGTTCGAAGGGACCGCCTACTCGCTGGTATCCGGAGTCGTGGGCGTGGGACTCGGCCTGCTCGCCAGCGCCCTGATCGTCGGCATCATCAACCAGATATTCGCCGGGGGCGGAGCAGGAGGGGGAACCGATCAATTCCAACTGACCCGCCATTTCGAGCTCCGCAGCGCCGTCGTGGCCTATTGCCTCGGGATGGTCATCACATTCATCACCGTGGGGATCTCGGCGTACCGGGTCAGCCGAATGAACATTGTGGCTGCCGTACGGGATCTGCCTTCGCCGCCCGAAACCAACACGGCCAACGCACTGCAGCAACTGGTACGGCTGATATTGTCTGGACTGTTGCTCCTTCCATTCCAGGTGCTCTATTCGAGCGCTCGGGCCTTCAGGGCCCGGCGAATAGTCCGCGGAGTCACCCTGCTGGTACTGGCCCCCTTGTCCGACCTGGCAGCTCCGTTCATCTTCGTCTACACCCTTTTCCAACTGCTCCTCAGTCCCTACAGGCGTGGATGGTGGTGATTCGAGTCTGCCTGTCAACCATAGTAATAGGCGGCGGGCTCATATTGATTTGGCTGGGCACCCAGACGGATTCAGTCGCATGGATAAGGATGGGAGTCACTCTCTCGATAATCGGTTTGGGTCTCCTTCTCAGGTCACTGATGAATATCAACCAGGTCCGTCCCGAAAGGTCTGACCGGGTCGCCTACACCTTTATCGGTGTGCTGGTGCTCGTTTTCTGGTTCATTCCTTTCAGCGAGCTGCAAAGAGTGTTCGGGGAGCTGAATGCCGGGCTTGAGATGTTCTTCATCTCCGGAATCACAATGGTTGCGGCCGCTGTCTGGACCGTGATGTACAACGCAGACATCCTGCTGAAAGCGTTGACAACTCTGACCGCTCGATTCGGCAGCCTGCGCCCGGTATTGGTAACGGCCGTTGCCTATCCAATGGGCGCCAAGTTCCGGACGGGCCTGACCCTGGCCATGTTCGCGTTGGTCATTTTCACCATGATGGTCATGTCGATACTCACCGATGCATTCAGCACCACGGTTGGTGAGCCCACCGAATTGGTCGGCGGGTGGGACATTTCTGCTTCGGTGAATCCCAACACGCCCATTTCAGATATCAGGTCGGCTGTAAACGACAGTCCGGATCTAAATGGCGCCGATTTCGAAGCCATTGGTGGACTCACATACATCCCGGTTCAGGTGCGTGAGGAGGGCGCCGAAGAACAGAGTTGGCGCCAGTATGCAGTCCGGGCAGCCGACGACGAATACCTGCTTGGAACTGAAACAGAGTTCCACCTCATCGCTGAAGGCTACGGCACGACGGCCCAGGAAATCTGGGACGCGCTGCAGGGCGACTCCACGCTGGTTGTTGTTGACGTCCTGGCGGTCCCGAATAGAGAAGGATTCCGCGCTGGCGAAAACGTACCCGAGTTTCAACTGGAGGGCGTGTTCTACGAAGACGAGACCATGGACCCGATCCGGGTTGAAATTCGCGAACCCAGGACCGGGGCCGAGATCCAATTGACTGTAATCGCCATACTTGATGAAACGTCGGACGCCTTCGGGCAGTTGGGAGGCGGAATGATCGCAGCCCGCAAAGAGTTGGACGAAATCTCGCCCTTCCCAATACCTGTCACCAATTACCGCTTCAAGCTGGCAGACGGGGTTGACGCCGGCAATGTGGCCAGGGATCTCGAGTACGCATTCCAGCGCCATGGTATGGAGAGCAGCGTGCTGGCAGAACGGGTAGAGGAATCGTTATCCGCCAACCAGTCATTCAACTACCTGCTTACGGGCTTTATGGGCTGCGCCTATGGTGGGAGTGGCTTCCTGGCGTGGTAAGCCTACGCGCGGTGGTGGATGCGACGGCAGCAGATAGGCGTTCTCAGGGCTATCGGGTATCGCAGGAATATGGTGCAGCTGACCTTCCTGATCGAGTCGTCGTTCGTGGTGCTCCTGGGAATCGCCATCGGTGTGGGCTTGGGCACCGCTATCTCCTACCTGATAGTGAGGGAGATTCGGGAGGACATTGAGACGATCCGGTTCACCTTCCCCCTGCTGACCGCAAAATAATAGGATAGAATGTGACTGGTGTGTGTAGAATTGTCGGTGGGCCTACCCTGTT